TATACGTAGCTACCTATTTAACGTGTATTTCTTTCTAGCCTGGCTGGGAGTGGGAATCGGGATTAATTCAACTTACTGTTCCAGCCTCCTTGAATCCCAGTTATCGTATAATCACAACTGAACTCATTCTGGTATGGTACCAATACACTCGTGTTTGTGTAACTTGGTATTACCCTAAACTGTACATATTCGTGAAAGACTGTAAATTATTTGATAGCTACAGTACCTAAACTGTCTGGGCGTCTTCGGGGGGTGGTACTAAAATGTGACTTGCTGTTCGTTTATCAGGAAACTCTGTTATCAGTAACTTCCCGTTTAATAAAATAAGAGTATACATTCACACTAAGATATCAATAAAATGTACTGAATCAAATAACTAGTAGTAAAAGTATGTTAACTTTGAATCCTAGAATCTGGTAATGGCAGTATCTTGGTTTAGGTTATTTTATCTCTTAAAATAACTATTTTAAAACAATTTTTCAGCATCAAAATATGCCCGAGCTCTTCATATAGGTATAAAAAATTGATATAGGCATACTTTATCAAAAATCTTTGGGCTTTTTTGTTTCTAATGTTGAAAAATTGGAATGCCAGTGCCGTACTGAATGATACGGTTAAGTCTGATTTATTTTTAACAGATTTATGATTTAATACAGAGCATGGGCTTAGCAGTTAAGAAAACTAACAATGTTGAAATGACAGTGCAAACAGTTTTCCTTCAGTAGAAATGACACTTTGGGAGCAGCGTGTTTTGTCTTCCTCGCTTATCATATATATTTGCAATTACTGTTCAAAGTCATTTTGAAACTATGACATTGCATACAAACAGACAACTGCTACAACTAATTATGCCGATTGTAGGAGAACTAACAAACAACAATAACCAAATGCTGGGCTATCATTTAAAATATTTGTGGTATGTTCTTTTTCAAGTTTTAGTCATGGTAAGGGTCAGAATTTTTTGTTTTTTTTTAATAGTTGGCCACTTCAAATTAATCAATGTTGAGACCAATAAACTTGATTAAAGGGGCTGATTGGTACATCCCTACTTCTTTGCATTTTAATTTTTATTCCATGTTGCATATAAATGTTTTTATTCATGAACCTGTGATATGTACAATTTTTTAGCCTAATGCACAATTATACATTTCAATATTGTGGCGTAAGCTGGACATATTTAACGAAGGTACATTAATGGAACTGGAATAGCAAATTTGTCAGTCACTGTTTCTTTATATATATAAAAAAAAACAGTGTGTTTACAATACCTTATTTGTGTGATTACTGTTTGTAGAGAACATTTGATGTATAACTGTTTTACTCACTAAATGGATGGGCAAATGTACTTGTAGTATGCTTTCTGAACACTAAGAGTTAATGATTGTCTCTTGTGCATAGCTTGTATATGAAGGTTTCTTTTGTTGAAAACAGTTAAGTGAATTAATACTGTCTGTATTGTTGACACACCATTACCAATAAACAGTATAGTCACATGTTTCTCATTGTTGTAGTTTTATTTACTTTACCTTTGTACACAGTAGTGAAGTTATTGAGTTTGAACATTGTATGTTGCATAAAGTTATGGCAGAGAATACGTTACCAAAAGTGTGATAATATATCCGATAATAATATAATATTAATACTGGAGAAAACTTCTAAAAACTAAAATTTTCTGAAAGGTTTTTATACCTACAGTAACATTTGTGTAGTGGTTAACTCTTAATCTTTTGTACCCGGTCAACCATTTGTGATACAGCACTATAAACAAAATGTTGCAAGTGAAATACTAATTACACATCTCGGTGTGCAAAGACATTTTTTATACAAGACTTCCAAATTCTGTGAGATAGATTGAAGCTAGTTTTATAAAAGGTAATTTTGGTGTTGTCATCTTTTTTTTTGTACTTGAACATATGGAATTAATAATGGAAAACAAAGTGGAACTGAAATA